GATAACTGTCAGTGATTTGATTTAATAATTATTTTATTGCAAAACTTTGTACAATTGGATTGGGCACAAGTTTTTCCAACTTATTAAGCCCTCTCCATTACATGGATGGTAAAACAATACTTAACTACAAGCAATGTAACAATATATTGAATCATAATATTTTTCATTGAAACAAAAAAAAGAAGGATGTAAAGAAGAAAGGAGGATAGGTGAGGAAGGAAAAAGGGAATATATAGTACAAAGGAAGAAATGCAGAAACTAGCCAAATCGCCAAGAGGCATCAATAAATTTTTGAACAGCTCTAGCTAAAAGTGAGTTTTCAGCTGAACTTAGTCGTACGTCTCCATTTAAAAGTACATCTATCGAGATATCACCCTGATACCACGACAGTTCGGTGAACAGGGTGTTACGAATTTGAATGTAGTTCGAACAATGAATTAAATAATGAAAGGAATCTTCAGAGGGATGTCCGCAGGAGCAAGATGCTGAGTTCATGAGATTGGCTCTGAATAGGTCATAGTTGAGTGAGCTTGCCCTATTTCTTAAACGACATTGAAGAATATTCAGTTGACGGGGGCCATATGATAGGAAACACGATTTAAGCTTGTTGGAGTTTTTTGGACGTAGTTTGGTTTTAAACAATTTTAGTGAACCAGCCATTTTTAAAGATTCATCTAATCTATTCCAGAGCTCAGTTGTAGAAGGAAAAAAAGAGTTACACATAGATTGAAGACGATAAGTTGGTTGTCGTAACTGATCTGCATTTCGTAAGTGATACCTAGTGAGATTACCAATATGTTCAGGGATAAAGTCAGTGAGGAAAGATGGTGCGATCCCATTAATTATATTATAAAAAAGAGATAACTTGCGATGTTGACGTCGTAATTTAAGTTCTTCCCGACGTCAACATCGCAAGTTATCTCTTTTTTATAATATAATTAATGGGATCGCACCATCTTTCCTCACTGACTTTATCCCTGAACATATTGGTAATCTCACTAGGTATCACTTACGAAATGCAGATCAGTTACGACAACCAACTTATCGTCTTCAATCTATTCTATGGCAGTGAAATGTTTGTCATCAAAACATATTACATACAGTTTGATCGAGGTTAAGCCTCAGATTATAACGCTTAATTGACCAACTACACGTACGCATCCGTGCGAACTATGATTGGCTTATCGACGCACTACTTTCTTTGTTTTCGCTCGAAGTTGACCCTTAACGCGTCGATATCGTAACATTTGTATTTTGGTTACCAGATAACTGTCAGTGTGGTATCGGTTTCGGATAAAAACGGTATAATAAACTTTAACCTATTAAAAATCCCTTGTATCAAACTACAGGTAGGTGTTTAAAAGAGATCGCGTTTCTAAAATCACCATTTGAAATACACAATTTTCAGTATTAAGTTTAAGGCTATATGCCACGCTACTACCTGATGCATCGCCGTTCTTTTAAAAAATCATAAATGCACAAAAATGTTTATTTAAGTAGGTTTGAATCGACAGACGATTGAAACATATTGTAATTTAGTTTAATCACACTGAACACAAACCAGGTCTTTAGAAAACATTTTAAAAAATACATGCCTTCAATACCTAATTGAAAAACAAACAAAAAAAAAAAAAAAAAAAACGAAAAAGCTCCGTATCTTTTGCTCCTCAACAATGATTCATTCCGATGTAACGTTCACACATCACAAATCTCGAAAAAAGTCCATCTTTTATATCGACAAAACACTATTTATCCCACATTTCTAGAGTATGTTAGCCGTAGGCAGTATAAACGGATATCCACTTATGATTTACGGTTTATGATTATTTCCAATTCTTTTCAGTCAGAAGAAACGGCACTAAACGAACGCCCTTGTACGACACTTTCTCACAAGGTGGTTGGAGTTACTTCCCTTTATCATTATTGACGCCTTCAAAGCCAGCAAGGGAAGAATGAATAAGAATATCTTCATCAACCACATAGAGTGTATGGCTTTGTAAATATCCCGCCAGCGCAATACGTTAAAAATATTTACAAATTGATTTCTTGTATATCTATATGATATACATTCCAACATTTCTGTTTGTCATGGTTTGATGCAAATAAAATTGAGCACATAATCAAAACCTTAGGTATGCGTTTCCGGTCTACTAGACAGAAAATAAATTTGTACATATGAGTTGAATCTTGCAAAGTGATTATCATCAAAAAGTCATCTGTGACGTCATAAATGTTTTCATATTAATTGGTAAATATAGTGATAAATCGTTTGTTAAAGGGTATATAACATAAATTGATTAATGAAAAAAATGATAAAAACCTTTCAGAGTAACAAACGTAGATGTATACGAAAGGTGTTGAGATTGGTCGTTTAAATTTTACTTTTTTTGTGTCATTTATTTAATTATTATTTAGCTACCATTTCTCAGGTGAAATGTGTTTCTCTGAGCTGAACGGCTGATAAGTATATGACATTTATACTGAATAGTGTGACATAGTCTGACTTCATTCAAGCTTGGTACAAAAACGATCCGTTTCTCTCGGAATTTTAATTTCATACTCAAGGTATGTGTGCTTTCGTGGTGTTTTTCCCATCTTCGAAAACTTCGAAAAACGGGGCCCTCGAAAATAACGACTTTTACATCAATTATGCAAAATGTATGGCACATATGACCCGTAAGAAGCAAGGAAAACAAAACATCTTCTCAGTAACGGTCATTTCCATACATCAAAGACGACACCTGCAATTTAAGCCGAATAATTAAACTGAATCAATGCCATGTGCCCAAAAGTAGAACTGGGGAAATGATAATGATTCGGCTCGGCCCTTGTCTGTTCTAGGGCATATTAGAGATAACCAGTGGTTAATGAAAACACTTATTGGTCAAATATGTCAATAACATTTTTATCATCCACAGTGTTGAACATTTTTGAGACAGGTCAGTTTGATATAATTTGTCACTAGCTGCTGGTTATGTCTAGCTTGGCTTTGAGTAACCGGGACCGGAAGTCTCAGGAAAAACCTTACAAAATGTCTTCTTTATATTATACAAAGTAGAATATCACATATCTGTCTGACTGTGTCCGTCTGTCTGTCTGTCTGTCCGTCTCTCTAACTCTGTGTGTGTGTGTGTGTGTGTATGAGTGTGAGTGTGTGTGTGTGTGTGTGTCTCTCTCTCTGTCTCTCTATCGAAAAGAATCATTGCGTATGCGAGTAGTAAGTAAATTGTATCAAAGTTACATCAGAAAAAAAGACAAATCATTTACCGACTCTAGACGTTTTATGAGTGATGATTCAGAAAGAAATTTGTGTTTTTATGTAAACAACACAGTTTATGAACTTTGCTTACAAGTCGCCGTGTATAAATGACTTCGTTTTGAAGTGCCTTTGCGATAATAAAGACTTTATGCAAGTACTTGACCTGTGAATATATAAAAACGAACCGGTCCCGCCCCGAGATTACACGCCAATAAAATAATTCCGGATATTCTCTAAGCCGGATTATTTTTTTTTTAATTTATGGTGCCTCTATGACTGTAGATTACGTCACACAAGGCGCCCTCTCACCGACCCCCGCTTTACAGTATACTGTAAATGACGACATTCCTGTATTGGTACAACACGCACCATTTTGCTATTGAAATGGAAACGTTGAAGATGTTGTTTATCAAATTATTTAACCTGATGTCAAAGTGGCTAATTTTACGAGGCTATGAGGGATGGAAACATTTCTTTTACTCGTTTAACGAGGAAAAATAAGACTTTATCAACTTGAAGATCATTGTTAGCACTCTGAAAGTAACGATTTGAATTTCATATAAGTATTTTCTTAAATGTTTAAATAATGTTAATGAATATTTTATCGTAGATATCTTAAGTTACATGTATATGAAATATACACCAATTAACGGATTTACTGAATTGAGTCGATGAGGGCACCCTACCTCAAATCTGATTACATGATGAGAGATTATCGAAGAGTCGTATTGAATGACCCTCAAGGGGAAATCATGACGTCATTTTGATATACGCTCTTAAAATTCACAGGATCAAAACTACGACTTTTCAAATGTTAAATTGCACAATGATAAAGCTGACATAGTTATTTTCGGTGAATTCTTGGGTACACTAAATCCATGAATTTTATATGTCTACAAAATGAACAGATACAAACGAAGTTAATTATAGTACCAGCGGAGTTCTTATGCATCACTTAACAACAAAAGAAAATGCCAACACCAAAAATGGATATTTTTGAAAACACGAAATTTGAGCCTCACGAAAATATATCATTATACATTACCCAACAATTCTCGTTTTGAATTGGTTTAAACATATACTGTAGATACCGTTCATCCAAAAAACTAAAAAGGGAAATCGTATAATGATACAAATCAATTAATGACAGCGAGTTAAGGAAATAAATATATACTGAAACTATCATTAAAGCGTTGCTTAAAATTTCTCATAAAAACTTAAAAATATGAAAATGAATATTCAATTTACTGAATTAATATTAGATATAGAAAATTAATAAATTACTGGCAAAGTTCAAAATTAAACTTTACCCCGAATAAAATATTTACCATCTTCAATAACCTAATTATAAATGTAAACAAGATTGAAATGAGAAGAGACAAACAGCCATTTGGAAACAAGCTCTCATCGGTCCATAAATTGATAAAGGGGATGTTATTCAAATGAAGAATGCATGACGAATATATTGCAATTTATCATTTGACATAAAAAAATCGCGTTTGATGTTGAACAATATTTACATTGGACTATATAGGTTTAAATATACGTGGAAACAATATTTTGAAGGAATGGTCTAAATTTATTTTAAGTTTTGAACATATTTTTATAAGAAAAATATTTGCACAATCCATCAACTGCGTGTTTCTCAGCTGGACTAGGAATCTATTTTGAATACCACTAGTTATTTTCCATCCTGAACCATCCATATTAAGCATACATAACAGATAACTAGAAAACTTACCTTTCTCAATGTCCGGAATCAATTCCGAATGACCCTGTTTTGAATTCTTATTTTTCATTTCTCTCTTGATTCTAGAATGACGCCTTCGTTTGAGATTGGAAGCCATATTTTTCGCACTTTCCAACTTGGTATATGTCCAGATCAACTGACCACGGACAGGAGCTGTACTGACCACTCTGATAAAACCACCACTTTGGTAAAAGCGATGCCCACTGTCCTTCTGCTAGTTATATGTTTGGATTTTCTGCTGACCACGGTTTATCTGAAAGAATCCTGGGTCACTTTACAGGATTTTTACTGACCAATATATCCTCCGAAATAGTTCCTTATTTCAATATGTCCAGGAGAACTGTTGATCAGTTCAGGAGATCACATTTGGCTATTTGTTGTTTGCTATTTAAACTTTAGACTGACCATTAACGACTTATAGTATCACCAGATTACGGACGTAACACCTAACGATTAAGTTATTAGGCTAAACCTATGAAGTGTTGTGTTTCACGTTCAAATTTCTCGCTATCCTCAAACCATACCAGTCCTTCGGTACTAATTGCCAGTTTATCGCCCTGTAAATAGCCAGGATTATTTAAATGCGAGCCTCCTTTTAGTTATTGGTGTTTACATCATTGAACAACATACGGGAGGCCTATTGCATACCATTCAAAACAATTATACTAAGTGTCTTACCCAGGTGACAACCACAACACAGACAGGTCCGTTTCTCAGCTTTGAAAGACAAGCATTTAGGACAGGGTCGAACCATGTACCTCTGATCATCAAACGATACTTACGTTACCACGGAAACCAACATCAATTTCTGGTTAAGCCTATCATATTTAGTGGCTCGGAGGTAGGTTGAAAGTGCTGGTTTGTTACGGTAAGCTCGATTCATCGCCCAATGAACACAGAGTGGTCCATCATTTTCAGATGGGAACACCTTATCGTATCTTGGTTATCTCTATGATCACAATGCAGAAGACCCATTTCAGCAATAAAAGCGTGTTTTGCCAAAGGACGTGACAGTAGAGGAAGTCAATTATCTTAGCTTTCCGCTTGACTTGGCTTTGATAATACAGCGAACACTGTCTAGCGGAGAAAAGTTGTACTAAGGCAGATAATCCACTCTCAGCATCATCATGTGCGATCGGCACACCTCAGACCTTGATCTAAGAAGACCAATCGCGTAGAAAGACTGTCTATACCGACTATTTGTGTACCTGCCTAGAGAGACTATGTATATTTAAACTTGTCCACTGCAGCACACTAAAATATGTAATAATGGGACTACATTTATATTTTGCATAATTTGGATCGTGTTTTGTCTAGTATGAATTATCCCCCTTAGTCTAGGGGTCGGGAGAACCATGGGGTCAATCCTCCTTTAAAACTGATCAAGTCGAAAGACTTCGATGAAACAATGAAAGATGGCTGTGCTGACTCGACTAGCGGGAGTTGCTCTTCGGTAGGTCTACAGATTAAAAGGGCACTGGTTCGAGTCTGAGCGCTGGAAACCTAATTTTAAAAACATCATTCAACGACAGGGAACGTAGCCAAATGTTCGTGAACATTAAACACAAAACCAAAAAGGGCACGGTGTTAAAGGTTTATAGTTAATTAAACGTTTCGCCCAGTAGCGTACTAATCTGTACTTTAAGCATAATTTTAATCTGTTTTTTCTAACTAGTCAAGTATACAAGGAAAGTCATGAAAGCCATGCACATTCAACTTTGATCAAATCGCCTACATAGAGTGTAAATATTGCCTCTGTATAAAACAAACATTGCGACGGCTGTATCAATAGTGCGATTAGAAATGTTTAAATGGACATCGAGTAAAAATGTTAAAATAGTAAAACCACAATACATTGTAGGGATAACGATATATCAAAGTGACATTCCTCCACCCCGGCAAAAGAAAAAAAATATATATCTGGAGGAACATAGCTTCCAAACTTCAAAATCCTGAACTTCTAAATTTAGTTGCGAAATGAAATGAGTCCAAGGTTCTTTGTTATTTTTTTGAAACAATTATCTATGAAGAAGCTAAAAGTGAGAATTTTTGAACAACTGATTTACACCTTCAGATTCCGAATGAGTGAAAATTTCCTACCACGTGTCAAAAAAAATCAACAATTTGGTAAAATATACGATTTCACGTAGTAACATGTGAATGAATTCGTTACCAAGGAAATCGATTTCGATCCAGAATTTCATTATTATGTCTTTATATATATATTTTTTGTAAGTTATCGTATATAATCATATGGGTAAATTTATATAAAAGTGTAGTTTGATTAAATACATAATGAAATTACATTCATGAACACTGTTTCAGGAAAGAGAAGATTATTGATTGGAATGGTAAGTATTTATGAATCTATATAGAGAAATCAAACATTGACTGAAATCAGCTTTTCGACGTTGAACAGAGGAAAACTTGTGGACGCTTAGAGCAATAGGCCACTTTCAGTAATTTTCAGTCTAAGTCGAAAAGGAGGGACCCATTTTTTCTGATTTTTTACGGCCGTAAAAGATTTCGTTTACAGAATGAGCAATCATAAGCAACCAAATTTTAAAAATAAAATAATGATAAAAACTAAAAGATGGGTGAGGAATTTGTCTTCTATTTCGGTAAAATATGGAATATTTATACACAATGTTGTTTATCTAATTTCGACCACTTTTATTTGTTAAATTTTTGTCCTAATTAAACATTTGTACATAAAAAATACATCGATACTCGATCCTTATTTTATTTTCTTGACGATAAAATATCCTTTATGTAGAAAATGTCATTTTCGTCAAATGATCAGATATTTCAAGTAGAAAGTGATGAGACAGTACATACTAATGTACGGATAAAAACCGCGGATGTCTATCGATATGTACTAATGTCCGGATAATGATTCGGATGTTTTTTCCTCTTTTTAACACTTATCAATTAACTTATCGTGTAGGTTATCAGTATAGGTTTACCATAGTTTGTATAAAATCTGTCGAACAAACAATACACGCAGCTTTTCAAAATCTTTTTATTCGGAATTCGTTTCAGTAACAATATTTATTATTTATAAAAAACAACAATACAAACATGTACTTAAACCGCGATATAATACATCTCTATTTAACCAACATCAGCTGCTGTAAATATTTCATGATGATGTTCATCTCTTAAATTGAAATATTCATGTTAAAATATTTTGATGTGTATTTTGCTTGTCTCAGTTGACAACGCGGGACCCTTTTGCCATACCAGGGAATTTCCAATATCAAGTGGCAATTTGCAACAATAAAACCTTCAAACTTTGAATACATCATACCTTCCTCGACTTTCTGGTATTATGGTTCAATATTCGACATTGATAACAATATCTTCATACTCTCTCTTCCCCCTCCCCCTCCCCCCAAAGGGAAAAAAATCACCTACGAAAAAGTATTGAACCTTTTGTTTCCAATAGGAGGCGGCGGAGAGGTATGAAGAAGAATTTAGTCAGTCCGGTCACGCTGTGCCGGTGTATATGATCTCCTTTAAACAGATGTAAGTCCAAATACGTAAGGCAACTGTAATCACAGACACTTTTTAGGAAGGGAGATAACTCGAACATGTCGGTGTTATCGACGTCGGAGGAGGTATATGTTATTATATATTACAAATATTCAGGAGAAATGAAAATAATAATAACAGAAAAAAAACAGTAATAAAAAATAAATAAATAACGAGGAATGACAAGGACGCCAAATTTATATGAGGTCATATGTTTTGGATCACCATATTGACGTTACCCGATATGTATCGACGCGTAGACCTAACACATTTTGCATACAAAGAAATTGACGTCACATAAAATCTTCATCACCGAAATGACGTCCCTTTGCATAAGTCACATACATGCTCTATAGTCATGTTGATTAATCACTTACTGGTGATGCCATTTGCATCACATCACAGAATGACGCCATATATGCATATGAAATCTCCTGAATCCGGAAATCAAAATCTGTTGAGTAAATAAATGTACCACGAAAGATGTCTTCTCATTATCAAAATGCAGGGATGTCTTCCTGCACATCAAGATTTTTTTCTAGAAAAAAAAAGTGATATTCTAACGCACGTTTTTCGTATTAATATACTCTGCTATTTTGCGATGCTGACGACACATGAATGAAATACTCATATGGTTGGTTCCGATCCATTAAAATACCTTCGAACACAGTTTCGATGACACAAATTCTGAAAGGGATAAGGATAAAAGATGCCATTAAAATAACTTCAAATACAGTTTAGATGTCACAAATTCTGAAAAAAATTAAGATGAAATATGACATTATCACCGATTGGATCAAAACACCATTTCTTATCAAAAGCCTTGAGGAATAAGTTACAATTATTAAAGGGACCTAACTCTACCCGCAATAGCGCATGGTAATAGCTTTATCTATAACATCTATCAAAGGGAGGACTCCCTAGATAAATGTCTGCATAAGATTTTTAAAATAACATTCAAATGAAAAAAAGCAAGCAAGGCATATAGATATCAGTGTAATCCACACAAAACAGCAAGTAAGTTTACATGAACACGAATTTTCATCTTAACATCTATCATCGCTTGTTGTAGATACTTACCAACGTAGTCTATCATTCCGTCACCGTTTTCGTCGGCTTCTAAGAGTAGGGAGACCCATGCGTCATCGTCCTTGCCCGGATATAGTGTAGACGGGTCCTTGAACATAAGCGCCTTCTTGAGTTCGTCTATTGAGATAAAGCCATCTCCGTTCTTGTCAAGCGCCTGAAAGGCCGTGATCATACTCTCTTTTTCCATGTCAATGGAAATATAGTTGAACATCATTAAATTCTTGTATTCTTCGAAATCAATACAGCCATCACCTAAGGGATGTAGGAATTTTTGACAAATGATACTGACCAACCATTTCCGGCAGGAGCAAAATATATATAAATATGTTAGTTCACAGACTTATTTGGAAAGTTGAAATGTTGATAATATATTTACTATATGTATCAAGACGTATAAAGACATTCGATTCCTTCTATATTACCTACAATAAATAGAAATAAGTTGAAATAGATATGATTACACCCAAAACAAAATCAGCATTAGGAACTAAACCTAGAACTATTCATCTTCATATCCTAAATTTGTATTATAAATGTAGCATTTTTTATTCTCATTTTAATCGTTACGCAAAGGAGCAAGAATAACGCCATTGTGTAAAGGCAATGCGATAGGCAAACTTCACAAGCATAGATCTGAACATAGAAGTTTCGGTGCTACATGAATATCTCGCTGGTAAAAAGTGAAAGGCATAAAGCTGGAAAAAGTGTGAAAATATGTCGTAATGTTTATGGCAAATAATACGAAATGAAATTTAAACAACGGTAAAGAATCAAACTAAAAATTTATAATCTTCAGATTTTATGGGACTGAACCTAAAAGATGAATGGTATAGAATATGAAATATAATTGCAGTTCTGCAAAGTCTATAAAGAATCTGAAATAAAATGATAGCACTACAAAGTGTATAGATGCAAAACTTATCAAAAAGATCGAAATGAAATTGGAATCTCGTATATACATATTGTAATTTTCAATTGGAATAAGACAAGGCTGTCAATTTTTGCCCTTCTGTTTTGTTAAATTAAACTGAAATTCTTGAATTTGAATGATCTTAACTTTAGAACAAATGAGAGGATCTCACCAAATCATACCTGAACTGCATATTATTATAATACATGTTACTTTACAGTTACAAAAACTTTAATTAAAGAATAAATGAACAAAAAAAAATAAATATTAACCGAGGGAAACAATATATGTCTCAATCATTTCGTCGAAGGGCATAAAGAATTAAGCTACGTTTTCTCAAAAGATCCATGGTTAAATTTATCTGTATAGATATTAAGTATATTTACATAATTTTACTTGCTGGAAACTAAAACCACATTTTAAAGTTGTAAATAAATCTAAACATGAACCTTGTGACCAACAAAAATTATATGTACTATTTTTGTATATGCTAGTTAGCATTGTAATGATGTCGATGAAATAAAGTAAGAGTTATTTCCCTTTATATATTTATATGCAAATTTATATAATAAAGCATCACAATATGTGATTTATTTGAGATATCCTTAAAAAGATATAAATTCAATAATACCAACAGTAAAATAAACTGATGACACTTTCACTTTCTATTGTAAAACATGATGTACTAAGTGCAAAACTAAAGTTAGAATTCAAATGAAACCTTAAAATGTTTGACCATTTCTATATAAATACTGATGTTAAAATGTATTCGATGCAGAAAACTTCAATATCAGAAAAAAATATAATTAGATTTTTTTTGAAAGAGAGATCACTCTGACAAAAAAGATATAATGTAATATCAAACACTGAGTTAGTTACTCTAGTTAAGTAGGATTTTAACCTGTATGTTTGTTCAGGGAAATATTGTCGTTGTATATATTACGTAACATCCAGTAAAAAGTACGGCTTTTATGGTAAGAAACATAGACAAATTCTGCCAAATATGATCCTTCAAGTTATGTTATAATCTTCTAGTACGCCTAGGGTAGGTCACTTTAAATGTGTCTATCAGATCTCTTTGCTCCAATGACGATCTTGAAGGACGTAGACGAATCGGACAGACTTACCGTCCAGGTCAGCTTCTTCAAGCATTTCCCGCGCCTCTTCCTCCGTCGGGTTCATCCCCAGACAGTATGCGGCGTTCTGTAGTTCCTCCAGAGTTATCTTACCATCACCATTCTCGTCTATGATCGTAAACGATCGTCGGATTTCTAAAATATGCAAAACACACGACAAACCGTCGTGTTTAGATTCCGAAATGTTTTGGTCATGATTTTACGGTATTTATTGAAAATTTAATATTTCACCAATTTGAGTCATCAATCGGAAATATTTCATGCGGAAAGTGGCAACGCTTTCAAAATGGTAATTTTTTCTTCATGATTTACTATTGTGAAATGGAAATAAAACTTGTTTATGGTTGGTATGTTGATCTTTTATACAGTTTAACCGCCTCATAACAGCCATATCAGGACGGGTGTCAAGAGGGACGTCAGGAGAGGTAAAGAAAACACAGAAAGAAAGAGCATGATAAGAAAGAAATGAAATCAAGATTTCCAGTAATGGAGACATTATATCTTCTTTAGTGTATTCGGCGTTCTTTTGTACAGTGTAAAAGACACGGAAGAAATCACTGGATTCTACAGGGGAGAAGACAGCGGTGAAATCCCGATCTGCAAGGGTGGTTCTTCTATCAGAAATCTTTTACCACGTCAATTGAGATAAATATGAATATTCCTGCACAGGTCACCCACTATTCGATTACCCTCCGTACCTGCCAACTCCTCTTCGTTCAGGTTCCTTGATGGTTTTGCGCCATCTTCCGGCTTTAGACTGAATCTTTTCTTAGGTTTTGGCAAGGAAGAAATCTCGCTAGGAGGCAATGATTCCGGAACCTCGTCATCCTTGGCTACATCCGGGTCATTCAAAGTCGCCATGGCTGTTTCGTTGACGTCTCACTAAAAATATCAGGAATTTCATATTTTGACTATATCACCATCAGAGAAAATGCAATGCATGGATATTTTTCGATAAACAGTTGTTTCCTCTGGTTGGGTAGAATAAAAGTGTTTATCTGGAGTCTGCTTGTAGTTATGTGTTTTTCGGAATTCAACAAAAGTGAAAACTGCAAATACTTGTTTTTTTTCAACTAATAAGTTGCCGGATTTTTGTAAATTGCATCTAGACATGATGATTTAAGACACTTTCAGCTGATGGGCGATGCATGATTGAAAAAGGGCTTCTTGTGAGTGATGTGTGAACAGTACTCTCCACTAGGGGATACAGGGTTCGTTACTAGTTCTACATCATTAGAGCAGAACATTCAAAAGACAAGTTAAACTAGCTATTGTTAATTCTTCTTCACAATGTCGCGATGACTTGAATTATTTCATAGATTGTCGAGATTTTTTGGTTGTGTAGGACGCTTGATTCATCTAATAAGAAAAGCAAAAAGTATGCCAAGCAAATTAGTAGATATATTTGTTCAGCGTTGTTGATGAAGAAACCGATTAATTCTATCGAGATCTAGGTGAAAATGTTTATTATTTGTATGGATTTCAAGGCCTGCATTGTATTTGTGTCATGATTGTTAACAAATAATTTAGCATTCTGTTTGTAGGTGATTGTAGTTGTAACCATGAACAAACTATGAACACAACAAATATTTGGTAAGTAAGTTTTAAATCTCTAAATGATTCTACTTGATATGGTTTTATTGCCAGTTGAACTCCAGTAGGACTTCTAAGTATACTGATCTGTAATCACGCAGTCAAATTTGCCTATATTTTGTTAAGTCTATCATCGGCGTTCTATGTGAATATATACAGATCACATTCATATTGTCAGTGTGTTCTTAGATCACAGGAATCTACATAGATAAACCTAGGTTGATGCCCGGCTTAATCAGGGACTTGGATTTCTGTAGAACATATCAACGGTAAACACTGAATTTGACAGGGCGCTAAGCCTGCTAACATCTGACAGTAAGCATACCTAAATGGGAGGGCGTACACCAACGGGGAGCGCAAGAAAATGTAACTTAAAGGTGAAATTCATTTCTCAAAGGAAATTGTTCCCCTCCACCCCCACACACTCTTCCCCCAGTCCCTCGAGATATGTTTAAGAAACCATACAAAATTTTGCAGATTTGAAAACTGTGAAATCTCGGTCGATTGTTGATGAGAGATCTGCAATATTCATATTTGATAATAACTGTATATATGGAATTTCTGAGTGAAATATTTTTTTCGCTTCTCGGTTTGTTTATTAATGTATTTATGATTGAATAAACTGTGGTTTTATTATTTACTTAATTTCGATGAATATAAAACAAAACTCAAAAAGAGATCACACACGTTTCAAAAATATCCTCCCAAACAAAATACACGTGTAGTCAATTAATGTCAGGACTTGCTGATAATGTGCTGAGTACAACAACAGTAAATTCCCAATTAAAGCATATATTATAGGTAGAATAGGACAAGGGAAATAACCCATCCTTGACTAAACCCTGACGCAATAATGAATAACGTTGTTAGTATGTTGTTATCCTAAGGAATTACCCAATGTCACTGTAGGTCTAGTCGGATAGAAATGTTTTGTGATTTAAAGCATTTAGAATGGCATTACTTGTGCTTCTCTTATGACGTCATAATTGAGACTTCGAGGCGGCAACAGTACACCGAAACATTGTCTGTCGCGTCAGACGAATCTCTCTATTGGTAAGGAAATGGACAGGGAACCGTATCAGACAACACAATGTATAGAGAATTTAAAAGAAAGCATGGTTGTAAAAGTAATGTTACGCAAATAGTCTATATTATGTTTTCAGCTTTGTCATTCAATTGAAATCATTTATACTATATCTTTACAATTTAATGCTCAAATGAACTATTAGTACATTAATTAACCAACTGAAATGTTAGATACATGCAATGAGAATTTATGAAATTTTACTGAGCTAATTCATCAGATGTATTGCACGTTTGCTCGCAGTTTGTGAAAAAGAGACAAAAATTCGAGTGCGGTTTATAATCATAAACATTTACAAGTATACCTAGGACATTATGATACAAAATTTTTCATCATGTGCGTTATATCATTATCATATTTGATTAGAAACATGATGATGTACAACGAATATAAGTCATAGCTGTATACATGTATAAGTCTCCCTATTTTAAAATTAATCTAATCTAAAAACTATGTGAATTAATTAGACAAATGTTGAGATTTCTGACACCAGTTTCAGTATCCAAGGGAAGATGATTTAGTAAAAGATGTTGTCAATCACATACTGGTTTCGTCCTCTGTGTTAACGCCCGATGAAATGTACTATAGTCTATTACAATGATAGCACTCACCTAACAATAGGTCACCGACTCAAGTTTTTCCACATTCCTTTCGAAAGGCTTTTGTTGTGATAAAATCCTCCTCGACATTTTAAAGGTAGTTGTACATTATTTTTGTCTTATCTAATGGTGTTCTCTGGTTCTAATCTATATTATAACGAGTACTATTTCTTGTCTGACAACATGAATCGTCCATTTATCCCGAATTAAAGATCCCGGCTTTTGACCTTTAACCTATTGACGCTTGAATAGCTACAATTATAAGACGTAAAATAATCATATTTGTTCTGACGCATGGTAATATGACAGCTCTATCTCGAGAAATGACTTCAGAATATATAAAAAATACCAACGGTATTCAAAAGTCAAACATGCGCTGTCAAAAATGCGAGATCGTGTAATCCCTGGATAAAGGACATACAGATAAATATGTTTATCTTTGATATTGTTAAATGTTTTAATATTTACTTTTCAGAATTGACGTTTAAAGACTTTTAAATAAACAAAATAATGGCAAGCAATATAAACCATATGAAAAATAGAAAATATATCACATATTTATTCCTATTCAACTGTTCTTTTATTAAAAGTTATTGCTCCTGAAAATACATACCAGGCGACTGTAGAGGACAATTTTGTAAGGTGTATGTATATAATGAGTTGGCGATAAGGTTGGGTGATTGTTAATATGACTTCTGATAGACACACGATTTTTTCCATTAAACATCACCTGTCATCATAATGATTTCTGTAGGAAATATTCTATTTCATTTCGCATAGGAAATGATATATTTATGTATTTATTGGTTTCATTAATAATGCTTACCACAACTACTGTAAAATGAAATATTTTCGTGGATATTTTTTTTCGTTTTAGCAGATAAGCTTTTACGTTCATATTTGATTTTGTGGATAAATATAGCTGAAAGCCTACTTATAATTATTTTTTGTAGTTTGTGGACATACGAACTCGTGGATAAAGAATACCAACGAAATTGACAAAAATCAATACACCGCGAAAATGACTGATTTTCCAGTATAGAGAAGTAAATGGAAGTACTTATAGTTAGATCTTATGAGACTATGGAGGTGTTTTAGTGGATTACTTATCAATTACTAAACTAAAAACAAACGAAACAAATATGAAATATCCTATTAGAACTTTTATATACTAAAGGTCAGCAGATATTGTCAAGGAATTTTTAGTCTGGTGTTTACGTGAAAACGAGGTTGCTGAACTGAAGTGGGATTAATTTTTCTAAAGAGTATAATCAATGCCGCGGGGTCAGTTATATACAGTGAAAGCAAAACAACTATTTACAAAGCGTACAGGTTTTGATATAAATCGAAATCAAAAGTACATGGTCAATTTAAAGATAAATGGCATTTTAAATTAGCTGAAATAGATGGTAGAGCTAAAGAAAAAGAAAAGAAAATATTGGTTGAGAGAGGTAGCTTACTAAATGAAGTAAATAAAGATTTTGTTTGCTAGGAAAGGTGGTTCGAGGTAGCTGAGCCGGGATACATCCTCGATACTCCAAGGGTTAAATCACTTTCGCTCTCTGAGCCCCTTGAACATGTCTAACCTTTTTAATTCATCAATTTAATATCAACTTAAAGTTATCTAGACGTGTTGACTAAATATACATTAATTCATTTTCTCTTTGTGACAACGTCGGGACGTGCAATGCATCATCACGAGTCGAAAATGTTATTCACGCACTTTTGGGAAGTATGATGTCATGGCAAAATTGAAGATTCTGTGTGCAACACCATGTGGACAAGACGAAAGCACTAAAACGATCCTTTGATGTATATCAACGAATCTCGAGGTCGCATGATAATATATTGTAAGGGCGTTGAAGTGGGATTTCGCTGCATTGAAATCTTAAAAAGGAAGGTATCAGCCTGTGATTGGCCAGTTTTTGTCTCATGGAACCAGTCAAATTACTTTGCCTTCATGACATGTCCCAAGGGTGCAGAGAGTGAAAGCGACCGTGACCCCTGGAGTATCGAGGACGGTCGAGATACAGTCTATTGTTATTGTATCTTATGTTTAGGTGAAATATGTGTGTTGTGATACATTCTTCTAAAATACGGAGGGAGGGGGGGTGTTAAATAATATTATGTTTTTGGTATTGTAAACCATAATAAAACGGTAGTTTTATTGGACGGAAGAGTTATATAAATAGAACGAAAATGTCTTTCATTCACAATATTACACACAGGTGCCTTCTATAAACTACATCAAATGTTAAACATTTATGTTTCTCTTCTGTAACCTGAAAATTTTTAAATCTCCATGGCCTCTTGTAACACATTTTCGCTGTCGCTGAATACAAAATTAATAAATTTAGAGATCAAATCTGTTTTTCACGACCACTTTATGCCCGCTTGTGAACTCGATGAAATTTTTAGAAGTGATATCGGTCAACATCTAGTCTAGTTAATTTGCATCATCGCCGATATCATTTACTCATGTAATAACAGATTTGATTGGCTCATAATGATCACATGACTTTCAGATAAAAAGAAAATGTCGTGTTCCTTTTTACGCTTGAATCCAATTATATCGTTTGGTTATT